CACACACACACACACACACACACACACACAAAAGTTTTAGCATAAAATAAAAACCTATGAATAGTAATATAAAGCAAAGTTATGAACAGTATCCATATATTTACACAAACAACAAATTTCCAACCAAATCAATACGAAAAGTAATAACACAAGTGGAAGTCCGAAGGAAGACTAACCTCAGGGCACCAAAATCCATAGTAAATCCCACTGAGAAAGATGGCAAAGAAAGACGCCGATATGCCAAAGATGTCATAAGAGAGCCACTTTCGACAAGATTCTTCTGAGCGACAATTTAAGGTATGGTAAAGGGAGGAGAGAATCATGCAGGTCTGGAAAAAGAATAAGTTAATAATTTAAATTCAATCTTCAGCCATTTAATTTATTCTTTATGAAAGAACTACAGAGCCTATATGAAATTCATAACAATTTTCTTCACTCATGTAAACAAAGGAATAAAAATCATCTAAATTTAAGGTATTGGACTAAAGTTAATTTTTTGGTCCTATCAGAAAATCTTGCTAAATTGTATAATCAAATAATCCTCTATAAAATTCTACTGCAAAAATACATTTTAACCAAGAAGTCTAAGAAAAAAATCTATTTCCAAAAAGAAAGAAAAAAAAAAAAAGACAAAAAAAAATCAATTAATGTTGTATGATACGATAAAAAAGAGAAAAAACTAAATTGAAAGAAACTTAAAAAAGAAGCAAATCTTCTACAGCCTTTCACTGAACTTACCATGAAACACAGCAGCACAAAGGAAGCAACTACCGCATCATTCTCTGTGGCTTGGTACTTGTAGTACACAACATTTACATCATAAAGAAATAAGCCGAAAAACACAACAAACCCGGCAATGTGAGACCATATGTTCAGCGTCTCATTTGTCCACCACAGGAGACTGAAAGGAATAATAGTCACTTTGGACACTTCTGATAACAGTGGGCGGGTATGGGCACTTTGTGTGTGTGTTCGTGAGGGGTGTTTCGATGACATGCTTCTTTCTCTTAAGGCTAGTGTGTTTTAAAGGTGTGCATTTGTAGCGTTTTTTACACCTGCTTCTTTCAAGTTTGTTTATATCAATGCAGCGATAAAAATCTTATCCATACAGATACTTTTCATTATCTGAGAGAGATAAGAGAGAAAAAAAGAAATAGATGGAGATGAAGGAGGGAGGGAGGGAGGGGGACAAGGGAGGGAGAGGAAGAGGGACCAGGGAGGAAGAGGCAGAGGGAGAGTGAGAGAGGGAGAGAGAGACAGAGTGAGAGAAGGGGGGAAAGACAGAGTGAGAAAAGGGAGGAAAGACAGAGTGAGAGAGAGGGAGAGAGACAGAGTGAGAGAGAGGGAGAGAGACAGAGTGAGAAAGGGGGAGAGAGACAGAGTGAGAGAGGGAGAGAGAGACAGAGTGAAAGAGGGGGAGAGAGAAAGAATGAGAGAGAGAAAGAGAGAGAGAAAGAGAAAGAAAGAGAGAGAGAGAGAGAGAGA